TGAAACACAGTTTGGCTCTGCTTCAGGCAACAGTGCGCCTCAACATGCTCCTAGCAGCAACTTACTCCAGAATGACGAGGGCAACAGTAGACTGCAATCAGACTCAAGTAGTAGAGGATTAGACTCTGGTCCAAGCAGCAATGCATTGAAAATTGATTTAAGGAGCAATAGCTTCCAATCAGGTTCAAGCAGCAGTGGAATCCAGTCTGGTTTGAGCAGTAATGTCCATACTGGCTCAGACAGCATTAGGTTCCAACTTGATTTAGGTAATGCAGGAATCCAGACTAACACAGACAGGAATAGATTACAGACTGGTTCAATCAGGAATAACCTTCAGTTAGCTTCAAACAATGGTGGTGTCCGAACTGGATCAGGCAACATTGGTGTGCAGTCAATATCTGGTAACAGTAACTTACAGACTAGTTCAGTCAGCAGATTCCAATCTGATACAGGGATCAGTAAAATACAGGTTAATTTAGGAAATGGCAAATTCCAGTCAAGTTCTGGCACTAATGCATTTCAAGCTGGTTCAGGCAGTAGATTAGGAGCTGGTCTTGGTAGTAGTATACAGGTTGATCAAGTTGGGTTGCAGGTTGGTCCAGGTGACAGACCGCAGCCTAATTCTTCAGGTAGCAGTGGATTGCAGACAATCTCAAGCCGTAACAAAGTTCAGTCAAGTTCAAGTGGGATAAGAGTCCAAGCTAGGCCAGGCAGATTACAAGCTGATTCAGTTAACAGTAGGTTACAGGCTGGATTAGGAAGCAGTAAGTTACAAGCTGGCTCAGGCAACAATAACTTACAAGATGGGTTAGAAAGCAGCAAATTAAAGACTAGTTCAGGCAACAGTAGGTTCCAATCTGGTTCAAATAGCAATAACTTACAAACTGGTTTAGGAAGCAATAGGCTACAGACTGGGTCAAGTGGCAGTAGATTACAGGCTGGGTTCAGAAACAGCAGATTACAGTCTGGATTAGGAAGTACCACTATACATTCTGGATTAGGAAGTACCAGTTTACAGTCTGGATTAGGAAGTACCAATTTACAGTCTGGATTAGGAAACAGTAGATCACAGGCTAGTTTAGGAAATATTAGGATACAGACTAGTTCAGGAAGCAGCAGGTTACAGGCTGGTTCGGGAAGCAGCAGATTACAGGCTGGTTCAGGAAGCAGTAGTTCACAGGCTGGTTCAGGAAGCAATAGGCCACATGTTAGTTCAGGAACCAGTAGGGCACAGGCTGGTTCAGGAAGCAATAGGCCACAAGCTAGTTCAGGAACCAGTAGGGCACAGGCTGGTTCAGGAAGCAATAAGTTACGAACTGAATTAGGAAGCAATAGATTCCAGTCTAGTCTAGGTAACAGAAGAGCCCAGGCTGGAACAGGTATTAATAGATTCCAACTGAATTTAGGCAACAGTAGATTCCAAACAGAAACAAGTACAGGGTTTATACCAAATTCAAGAAGCAGTTTCCAATCAGATTCGAGAAGAAATGGATTCCAATCCAGCAGCAGCTTTCCATTTGGTTCAAGAGGTGGCGCTCAGTTTGGTTCGGGCAGCAGAGGATTTCAGTCTGCTCCAAGCGGCGGCAGTCTTCAGTCTAATGCAGGTAGCAATCAGTTCAAGACAGGTGCCGTAAATAGATTCCAGTCTGGTTCTTCCGACTCAAGTGGGGGAACTGCTGAGCCCCTGAACCTTCCAGCTGAAGCATCTAAATTGCTGGGGAAGATCTCAACCTCCTTCACCTGTCAAGGTCGTCCTTATGGATACTATGCTGATCAAGAGAACTCATGTCGAATCTACCACGTCTGTTATCCTGCCCTCTTCGCTAATGGTGCTACTGAGACCTCCCAGTACAGGTAAGGGAGTTTCCCAACCTCACAGTTAACTGTGTAAACTAAATGCGCATTCGTATTACTATACAATGGACAAACGTTTATGAAGCTCCTTTACCATGTACATAATTTGTTCTACTCATCTTGTTCCTTCCTTTCCCAGCTTCCTATGTAGCGAGGGATCAGTGTTCGACCAGAAGACACTCGCATGTATAGCGGAGACAGATGCCATTCCCTGCCAGGAATCTTCTAGTTACTTCTTCACTAATGAACAGTTCGGGGTCCCTGCTGATAGAAGAGCCTGATGGAAAGACTTTAGAAGCATCTGTTCCATGAGAAGCATTGTTGTTGATTTAATTTGTTCCTGTATGAAAGCTATAGAATAATATTAAATTGTTTGCCCTACATTTTTCTGAGTCTTCTTTCGATTTGCCTGACAAAGAAATGTTTAGGTTTAGGTTTTTCTGATTCACAGTGCAATCTTATTTTTCCTAATTCCCGTTTGTCAATATATTAATATTCTTTTCAAAGTGTAGAAAATTCATCATGTTATATATACATATATGTGAATTTATATATATATATATATATATATATATATATATATATATATATATACATATATATATCGGTAACAAACTAAGATATATGGGTTAGCAAATGGCTTCGG